AGGGATTATGAATCAAAGTAACGACCTTCGGAGCAAACCCTAGTATTCTCTGAGTATGAGAAACACTGTTCGAAGCATCAAAACCAATTGTTGGTTTTTTGTACATATTACTCTTCGAAAGAAAAAATGGTCAATTTGAAATTGATTGATTATATTAACCATGACCATATGTTGGTTGTAATTGGTTTTAAGGGGTAATATTGTTAAAATTTAAAGCATTAATTCCAGACGATATCGGCCAGAATTGTCAATTTTACTCCATGAATTGGAAAAAGACATGATTGGTATATAATTCGAAGGATGAGGTTGTCCAATTCGAAGCTCTAAATTAGTTTCAAAATATAAAAGGAAGCAGAGTCGAGCAATGGCGAGTGCAAAAGAACTTTGTTTGTATTAAAGATAAAGAGATTACATTGAATAACCCCATTTGGGTACAAACTCAAGTTCATAAAAATAAGGAATAGAATAGATAACAAGATCATGAAATTTAGTCCAACAATGGTCAATGAATTTCTGTTCTTTCTTTATTATATCTTCTATTTCTTCAAGAGTTGGCTGCATGAGCTGATGTGCTCTCACTTCATAATAGAGCTCTTCAGCCTTTATTTCAAAAGTCTCCTCCCTTAATCTTTGTTCCCATTCATCTACGACCAAATCATCCCAATATGCAGAATCTTTATTCTTGAAGTCGTCGAATTCTTCGATGAAGTTTTCTGATTCATACTGGGCCTGAATTCGCAGAGACGAAAGTTGGTCTAAAGATTGCATGGTGACCATGGAATTCCGATGCCAATAAAGGAGCACTGGAAGTTGGTCCAAAAAAAAATGAAGCTCTGCTTGGGCAAGAGGGTTGAGGACATAACCCCTAGTCAGGACATCACAAGCCCATTGAAAGTTCTTAAGAAGAATGTCAAGAACATTGAAAGGCAGGTGGGAGAAAGCCGCGAGCAAAAGTTGAGCTTGCTTTCGCTCGGCTGGAGAAGGGGGTGACGGAGGTTGATAAAGTGGAAAAACTTTGTCCATTGGAAGGGCAAGCCTTAGTTTCTCCGTCCAGGACAAAGTAGGAGGAGGAGACGGAGTGGATGGTTCTGCTTCAAACAGTGAAGAAGAAGATGTAGATGCTTCAGCTTCAAAGGATGGAGAAGAAAATGTGGATGCTTCCATTATAGGAGATGGCGCGGGAGCAGAAGGAACAAAGGCATTAATATAAGCAAGCCAGTCAGAAGAGCAGATCTTCGCCTTCTTGGCTAAGAATGATGGGTTGTACCCTTGTGCTTCTTCTGAGCGCCGGATAGCAGGCACTATCTTCGTAGGTATAGAAGATGTATACCAAGCCACAAGCAAGTTCTCCTCCAAGCTACGTCGTTGGTCAATGGGCACATAAGGATAGACCACTGAACTTCGAGCGTAGGAAGGAAATTCCAAAGGGTCAGTGAATTCAACGAAATGGTGATTGATTCGCTCCCTCAAATCATAAGTCTCAGGTTTTGACCAATTGGTCCAGCCAGAGGCCCCAGGAGATGAAGAAGTTGTAGCCTCATTCCATGTAGAATTTTTTCCTAAATCCATGGCTGCAAATTGCTGAATCGAGGGATCGAAAGCAGTTCGTTCGAAATACAAGGAAGAATCAGAGGAAGAACTTCTTGTATCTACGGTCGTAGAAGTCTTAAGGGCAATATATTCGTAGTCCAAAGGATGATAATTTGCAAAGGCATCCATAACCTGAATATAGGAAGGTGGATAAAGGTGGCTAATGAATGCGTGGAGGTTCTTTCGAAGGGGATCAGCATTACTCAATGACTCTTCGTATGCTTGATCAGTAAAAAAGGGAGTTGGTTTAGCCATGGTCTGTTCGAATACTAAAGTGTTGGGATATCCAACAGAATCAAAAGGGAATTAATGCAAATAATCATCAAATAGGTGACGGTTATGTTTCCTGGAGATGAATTCCATACACGATCCAAAAGCGCGGGAAAAGCTTCTTGGTCCACTAATATCACCAAGTATTGGGTATATTAGTGCGGGGGGTAATGTTAGCTATATATTTTGTAAAAGCCAGTTACAATCTGACACGTGGCAGAATAAGGGTATTATTGGAAAATAATTTAAGTCTTCAATCCTGATCGTACACGTGGTGATGATAATTGGTTCTCACATGGTCTGAGCAACATTGGATCAGTAAAGAAATGCAAGGTGACGTGGCTTCAACGGTTACTCATATTCAAATTCAAATACAGGAGGGAAGCCTAACTGCAAATGGTGGCATAATGGAGCTACTTCTAAGGCAACATGATCAGCGATCATGGAGGGGCAGTTCAACGGTTCGAAGAGCAGTTCGAAGGTCATCTTTGACAAGTATAAATAGCAGAGAGACCCCCAGGAAAAAAAAAGGGAGAACTCAGATCATACAAATCAGTCATTTACTTCATATATTTTCTTCTCTAGTCTTTTACATTTCCAGTCTTTAAATACCTGTTCTTTAAATACCTGCACTTTAAATACCCGCACTGCACTTCGATTCATAGGAGTAGTTTCAAGTAGATTCAAGTGGATTGCTGTTGTAAACCTCTCCGAGGCTGAGTTTGGACCATTGTAAGTGTTCATTTTAATGAAATACTTCAATTGTTCTTCATATTACTGTTATTCCTTTTAATTTCTCCTAAGTCAAGCCACCAGTAAAAGTCCTCTTCATTGAGGCTGAAAGAACTAAAACACAATCGTCTGGTAATTGGTTGGCAATCACAATTTCTGTAAGGACTGATTGATCCTTGCTGGCACGCTCACATTTACAAAAATAACCTTCGAAAAGCCAAAAAGCCAACATTAGCGTTTAGAACATGCGGGGGTTTTAGCTTTAGTCCCGATGTAGGTGCGGTGGAGTTCCTAGTAGGTACACCATGGGTGCTAAGGAGTAATACTCTCCGAAAAATATGTGGAGTAGCCTATTAACATACATATCCATTTTAAGTACTCAAAAAAAAAAAAAGTTTGTCTTGTTAAACTTTCTTCTATAATTAAATATTCATTTTACATAATTATGATGATATTTGAGGTTTTTTAAAAAAAATAAATAAATAAATTTAAGAAACGAGATCTTCGAAGTATGTGATGTGAAAAAATCACATCAACATGTGTGCAAATTATTAGTGATTTTTATTTTTAATCAAATCTTATGTTTGGATTTTCCGCTATTATTTGTATTATATTGTTTCTCTACCATACAAATAGTCACACAAAAAATCCTCATCAAGGGATAATGTGAGATTTATTCTGTTTGTTTGTGCTCTGAAAATAGTTTTCGACACTTGAGTTTGAGCATGATGTTTGGTAAGAGTTTTGGAATTAATTTTCCAAAACTCTACCGGAAGCTTTGCCTATATGTCAAAATATTCTATTTGTTGCAGAGGGGGCGTTTGAGGGAACGGGACGTCCGGCCGGCTGTCCGAAACAGTGATTTTTTTTTTTTTTTTTTTTTTGCAATTGATTTATATAATCGGGAAAAATATTTTCTGAAAATTTTTAAATTTTTTATATGCTTTAAAATAATTTTGAGTTGTATGTTTAGTTATGAGTTGTAAATTTTTGTATCACATATCAAATGTCACATCAACAATTTCCCACTCAAATCAAACTCTTTTCCAAAACTATTTCCAAAACTGTTTACCAAACAACTTTTCTACACTCAAATCATAATTCTGCAACACACAAACTCAAAATATAACTCATACTCTCAAATCACATTTACAAAATAAAACCAAACGCTGGCATTATTATTATATTGTTTCTCTACCATACAAATAGTCACACAAAAAATCCTCATCAAGGGATAATGTGAGATTTATTATTATTATTTTTTTTTTGTGTGTGTGAGTGGGGGAGGGAGAGAGAGTTTGAAATGGAAATATCACAAAAAATCCAATGTAATGAGAAAAAAAATTACTTTTATAAAAGTTATATATATATATATATATCAAAATAACATCACCATAACATTTAAATACACATTTCTCCTTTCCAAACAAAATGCTCTCCAAAAACAAAAAAAAAAAAAGGAAAATTTGTGAATTAATTGCAAGACTCAAAAAAAAAAAAATTACAAAGTCATAAAAGAGTTTATAATTTTAATTATTAAAATTAATAAATTTTACCACTAATTTAAAAATATACACTAAATTATAATTTCTCAAAAAAAAAAAATTACATTACCCAAAAGTGAGTAAAGGAAAGGACAAGCAAATATGAAGGTACCTAAATTGGGGGTGATGATTGATCGTGTTAAAATATTGATTTATATTACTTATCATTTGCTGTTTTTTAGATTATTTTTAAAAATTCAACAAAGTAAATTAAATCTTATTATTTTAATTAATGAATATCAAATAAAGTAGCGCATAATATTGTCACAATAACAAAAAAATAAAATAATATAATTTATCAACAATAGGAGGGTGGAGAATTTTCAATGAAAAAAAATATTAAAAATTTTATCAAATATTCTACATAAATATAAAACTCACATAAAACTCAAAAGATATAAATTTCACGTGCATATAAAACATTTTATAAAATTTTTAAGAGAAAAATGTGTGAGGGTCACAATTTTTATGACTTAAATGACTCAAAATTACTAAAATGACATCGTTTTAACAATTTCAAATTATTTAAATCACAAAAATTGTGACCCTCAACCATTACTGTTTTTAAGATTTCTGCCGCTACTATTCTCAAGCAGAATAAAACTGGAAAATGGGCCCACAAAATTAGGTGCACAAAATTCCAAAACGACGCTCCTTTAACAACAAAACAAATCAAAAAAATTGAAAAAGCTACCCGAACGGCATTGGTCCACGTGGCACTCCGTACAAAATCCGACCGTTGTGAGATCCTTTCCCCTAAAATACCATTTTACAACCATCATAGCCTCGCTCGCTCGCTCTCTCTCTCTCTATCATTCAAACTAACAACCAGGACATCATTCCCCTTCGTCTCTCTCTCTCTCTCTCTCATGGGGATCGCTGCAGAGCCACAGCCAGAAGAGAAGGTAAGAAAAAAGCAAACAAAATGCTCACATTTCTCCTTTCCAGTTAGGGTTTCGCTCTTCAATTTGAGTTTTTTGGTTCTAGGTTTTTTTTTTCCCGGTTTAATTAGGGTTTTGCTTCATTTTGATTCCAATGCGCTTGTTTGTTTTCTGAGTACAGATGACTTGATTCTTTTTCTTGCCCTATTTTAGAGGAAATTCAATTAATTTCCGTCTCATCTTTATGTTCGGATTTTGGTCCTGGGAGAATTTGGAGAATGAAACTAAAAAAAAAAAAGTTTTTAGAATATTAAATATTGTTCATAAATCGACAACTAACAAAATATATAAATATTATTATGGTGTTTTCCTGGAGTTTCCAAGCAACCAAACATAGCTTTCTTTCTTCGTTTCTTTTTCTTTTTGGTTGTTTCTTTGAAAGTTGAAGATTTCAATGTTAGATCCAGCATAGTTTTGGGAGTAGGGTTTGTAAGCTTGGAATTCTTGAGTTTGAGATTGTAGCAGATAGGCAAGTTGACACACTGTTTTGCCAGGAAAAAGTTACTTCTAATCTAACTGTCAAGATAATTTCTTTTAGCAATCCCCTCAAAGCTAATTATAGAGAGAATACTTTTTTTCTTCAAGGTGTAAGGAAATTTACTTGGAAATGGATGGAGGATTTGAAGATTGATTAAGGTTTTAATTGGACCGGTCTTGCTACAATAGCAATTGTAGGTAGTGTGTTGGTAGTGTTGTTAATTATGGCTTCATTTCTATAGGCTTCTTCAGAGGTTACGGCAGTGGAGAAAAGAAGATGGACTCTCAATGACTTCGACATTGGAAAGCCTCTTGGAAGGGGCAAGTTTGGCCATGTCTATCTGGCAAGAGAAAAGAGGGTAAGTGAATCTTCTGTTTTATGTGCTAGAAAATAGAAATGTTAACCCTGCTGAATTCTTGTTGGGAACTTGGGACTGTATTTTTGTCAGTTGGACATGTGGTGATTTATCATGGATTGGTACATATTGCCACTGGATTAGGGTATTTATTATCGTATGAAAACAGGCTCAGCCCTAATTAAATGTGATTTTCTAGTTTCTCTACCTCGCTGTTTGCCTATGGCCACCAAGAATTTGTTTCTTAGCTTATTAACAAAACAGAAGGAAACAAATGAAAATTGTGGATTTTACTGGTATTTTTGGGTGGAATGGAAATAATGATTGTAAAGTATTATTCCAAATTTTTCATCTTATTGGCAATTGAATCTGTATTATTTTGGAACAGAGCAATCATATCGTGGCACTAAAGGTGCTTTTCAAGAGCCAGCTGAAACAGTCTCAGGTTGAACATCAGCTTCGTCGTGAAGTTGAAATCCAAAGTCATCTCAGACACCCTAATATTTTACGCCTTTATGGATACTTCTATGATCAGGTATAGTTCATCTAGATTATCAAATTTCACAGCTTTTCCATGTAGTTAATCTGTTAACTTTTGTAGCCAACTGACTAATTACCCTTTTTTTTCAACACAATTGTTGCAGAAACGAGTTTATTTGATATTGGAATATGCCGCCAAGGGTGAGCTGTACAAGGAGCTGCAGAAGTGTAAATACTTTAGTGAAAGACGCTCTGCAACTGTGAGTTTCGATGCCATGGTTTTCTTTGTTTGTTTATCTTCCATTTGGCTTGTCATTCTTATTACATATTATGTTTCGGAACCTTCCAACTGTGAGTAAATTTATAATTTTTTCCACAACTTGCATCATGAATTTAAGGGATACACTTCGATGCCACGGGCAACATTGTTGCCATTTTTATTCTATCTATAGAAAACTGATCATTTTTTTTTTTTGTGCATTGGGGTGTTACAGTATGTGGCGTCATTAGCACGAGCCCTCATCTATTGTCACGGAAAGCATGTAATACACAGAGATATTAAACCAGAAAATCTTTTGGTTGGTGCACAGGTACATTTAGTTTTTTAATTGATTAATCGATTATCAAGATGTTACCTTGTGCAATACTTCATCAATTTGGGTTTTCTTTGTCAGGGTGAACTCAAAATTGCAGATTTTGGATGGTCAGTGCACACATTCAACCGTAGGAGGACCATGTGTGGTACACTGGATTATCTCCCACCTGAGATGGGTTTGTTTATCTAACAACTATTTGCTTCTCCTTTCTCTTTGATTCAGTTGTAGTTTTCAATCTGTACAGTTTTGTGTTCAATCATCACTTCTCTTTTTCTTTTTCTTTTTGAACTAGTACAACCTTCTTCTTAGCTTTTATATTTGGAGAAAAGTTTGATTTTGTTGAACAATTCACCTTATAGTGGAGGTATTTGCAAATTGACTGTTATGCAATTTTCATTTTTTTTATTTGCAGTGGAGAGTGTTGAGCATGATGCAAGTGTAGACATATGGAGCCTTGGTGTCCTCTGCTATGAGTTCCTTTATGGGGTTCCGCCTTTTGAAGCAAAAGAACACTCGGACACATACAGAAGGTGAGCCTGAAATGCAAAGTGGATAGAGATGTGATAAAAAGTAAAAATCATATTTTTCTCTCCTTACAGTCGAACACATTTTTCTCTCCCCTCATTTACAGCACGAAAATGATTGCTAATTTTTAAGAATCAATTTGCTCTCTGTATAGGATTGTGCAAGTAGATTTGAAGTTCCCTCCAAAGCCTATAATCTCTTCATCTGCAAAGGATCTCATCAGTCAGGTTCAAGTTATCTTTATATTTTAAATAGAGATTTATTTTATATATTGCTATGCTGATCACGAGTTTTGACAATTGTGTCCCTATTTCTTCTTTTCATGACAGATGCTTGTCAAGGATTCTTCACAAAGAATGCCACTACACAAGCTTCTTGAGCATCCATGGATTGTGCAGAATGCAGAACCTTCTGGCGTCTATAGGGGTTAATTAGTCAAATGTTGTTGAGGGTTACATAAAAGTCAGAAGATCAAAATCCCTTCAGAGTATGCAACTATTTTTTGCAAGAAATTTAGGTATGCAGTGATGATACATGAATTGGAGACATCCCAAGAATGATTTGTATAAGATAACACCCACCCACACCCCCCCGAAAGAACCTTTTAGGTCTACATTCTTTGCATTTGGCCCCCCACATCTGAAAGAACCTTTTAGGTCTTAGGTCTACATTCTTTGGAGTTCATATGTTTGTCCTTTCTTCCTCAGTTATGTAGCAATAAAATCGTATTACAAACAAAACAATCTTGAAATTCAATCAAGCAACTTCTTTACACAATATGCAGTTTGTTAAATTTTGCTTCTACTCAAAACATAATTGGACTAGCAGAAATGCATAGACCCGGCACAACATTTTGTCCTGCAAGTCCATCCGAAATTATGAAAAAAAAGGAAAAAATGAAAGAAATAGAGACCTTAAATATTGGCCCGTTGGGCTAAGCCCACAGGCTGCCTCGCAAGCCTGGCCTGTTGGCTTGTGAGAGGGCTGCTATGGAAGCCCTTTTGGCCCACTTGCCCCTCCCAAGCCCCTCAAACAAAGCGCGTTAAACTTCTTGGGCGGGATTGGCCTCCATTTTCACAGCACGAAACTTAACTTGCATTTTCAGGCGTGCCCGTACATGTATGAACAAGGGTAATTACACTCTCCCGAAATTTACTTAAATTATAAATTATTCTTCTAGTTTTAAAAATTACATCACGCTTTTAAATTTTTAATTTCATAACAAATAAGTCTTTTTATTAATAAACCATCAAATTAATTAATAGTTTTTAATAATGTTAAAATTTTATTTCAATTAATAATTCAAATAATTTTATTATTACAATTAGAAATTTCATTTTTTAAAAAAATTCTAACAAAGAGATATTTGTAATTTTTCAAACCACAAGAAACAATTCGTATTTTAAACAAATCTCAAGGGGTGTTTGTAATTTACCCTATGAAAAAACATTTTGCAGATAAATAAATTCAGAGATATTCAGTTGTTTGTTCATACTGAGAAGTATAAGTAGCTGCAAAAAGAGGGTTTGCTAGAAACAATTCCAAAGTGTCTTCAAACACCAAAAAACACTTCCATATCATATTTCTATGGCCACCATATGAAGAATCTTGAACATCAGATTTTGTTCAACAAGATACAAAATTTAATACATATAAACTTCCAATAACAAAGTTCACTTCATGCAGTCGAGGCATCCTAACAGAGCTGTAGACTTGAACATTGTTCCTACATGACCCGATCAATTTGATTATCACCATGGTCGCAGATTCAAAGGGTGGCAGAGGGAGATCAATTTGCAGAGGGCTACTGATGAAAATAGGAATAGTAGTAGTAGTAGTCAACAAGTGTTCGAGTGCTCTATTTCATCTGGAGGTTTACCTGAATGGGCATCTTGACAATTCTCCCCATCCAACAAGCTGGTTGGAGGCTCTTCCTCTTTTATGGCTTCAGCCATCTCTTTGGGACCCAAGAAGCTCGGTTGATTGGTTGAAGATAGGAGCCTTGCCCACATCCTGTCGGTTATCACAACCTTGTTTTGTCTCTCAGTGATACGCTGCACATTCATAGGGGGGAAAAAATACAAAACAAAAACAAACACAACCCAATAAATGTCATACTATAGTAACTTTATAGTGCTGATAAGTAAGAGAATATTCTAATAAAGATACACATTGCAGGTAACTGTTAAGTCACCAACTGTCCCAAAAGCTCAAGCTGTTAGGAAACAGGCTCGACAATGTATATCAAGCCATTCAACACCCTACATAGATTGAAGAGAGAATGCAAACGAAAGGAGAAAAAATCCAAATGAAGAGACTTGAACCCAAGGTCTTGTCTAACCTGAGCTCTAATACCATATTAATGTCCCAAAAACTTTAGCTGTTAGGAAACAAGGTGAGTGGAGGTGGGGTTATTGCCATGCAAATCAAGGAAAATCACAGGAAAACAAGCAAAAAGGCCAAAGTTCTGATTTAACTGTATTCCCAAGTAACTTTGAGTAAGAATGATTATCAACTAAACTCTAATATTGAAGTACTCTCTACTTAGTGTGGCAACCACTGGTAATACAAACATAGCTGCCAAATTGAGAATTGAATCATGCATCCAAATACATCTTTCTGTATTAACAGAAGATTCAGCAATAATTTCAGTAGTAGTTGCAAATATATATAGTAAAAATGTGGGAGGTAATAATATGTAACTATATTAGTGACATGATCATGTCGTCTAATGAGTTAGTGCTTGATATCAACTGAAGTGTTCATCAATATGTTCGAGACAAAGATGGTAGAGTGGCAGAGAGTAAATGAGGCAGCACAGTAATGAGTATCCCATGTTTTCAAACTTTGGGAGATTTGAGCATATTTTTTGCAATAAAATAGCTAAAACAGTATCAAACCTATCAAACATGTTTTCAGCATTTTTCAGGGAACAAAGATACTAAGCTGGCATTTAAATTTAGTAGAATGTAATAACTTTAGTAATAACAAAAGTTATAGACTGTCTAAAATAAGGACAACATAGCTAAAAGAGGCTATGAAGAAAATGAAGACAGAAAAAACTGTAAAACAAAATGGAATGCCTATTAAGAGTTTGCATATGTACAGGTGATGAAGGAGCAATGTAGTTGACTAATTTGTTTAACATGAGCATACCAAGAAGATGCTTTCTAAATGGAGAAGTATATTGGTGCAAATAAAAATATAACGACAATATTTTGAGCGGCACTACTTATCATGGCATAAAATTTTTGTACGTCAAACAATAAAAACATAGTGAGAGTCACTGAATGAAGATTAGAACGCAAGACAAACAGATTATGAAAAATTCAATTTTTTTCAATGCCTCGAAGATGGTGGGCATAAGATGGCAAGGGATGGAGGAGGTGAGAGCTCAGCCAGCCTTGAGTGAGAGAGGACATCAGTGAAGAGGATTTACTCTTGTGGAGATGGGGACGAGAATTGAAGATCACTTGCTGTTCAAACAATTGTATGCATTAGAGGCTCCCTTATATAGGGAGGACTCCAGTGTTAGGTATGATACGTGGAACAAGATCATATGTCTTGATCAAATCTTCTGTGTGTAAGATTGGGCCAGGCAACCTTGATGTTCACTTAGTTCTAAACTCCCAGGTACAAGTCCTTCAATGATCTTGAACAGGGTGTTTCTAGTCCCTACTTCTAGATTGGGCAATCACATTTAAGATGGAGATGTCTTGAACACATAGATTATAACCTATTACAGAAGGAAGCAAGATACAGAGGAATCATGACTCGATAAAGAATCACTTCGCAGTGTCATAGGTTGCCTTGCAAGGTCAACTCCATGACATTTTGCACGTGGTGGTGTGACCATTTGAGTGCTCAGGAGTGGCCCTTGGAAGTGCCTCGGTGAAGGGCATTGAGATTCCAAGTCGGCGGTTCGGTGCCTCAACGTGGCCCCAAGGTTGGCCCCAAGCAGCCCAGGGTAGACATGCCACCATGTAGCCAGCAGCAAGCCCAAGTAGCAAGGCCGCAGCCCTGGCCACAGCTCAGGCTGCAGCCCAGCCATCCACCCAGGCCACCTGCCGTGCCATGCCGTCCACCACCTAGGCTGCAGCCCAGCAACAACAAGCCATCAAGGCAGATTTTTGGCCCATTGTTTGAGGGCCCAAATGAAGGAGTTTTGGACTAAAATTTTTATTGGACTTGGGTCTTGGGGTGAGTGTTTTCCCGACCATGTTTGGTGATTTTTCTCAATTTGTGAAATTTTTGAAAAATCATTATGCTGCCCAGGCCGCGGCCCCAGCAACAGCAAGCCATCAAGGCAGCTTTTTGGCACGTTGTTTGAGGGTCCAAACGAAGGAGTTTTGGGCTAAAATTTTTACTGGACTTGGGGTCTTGGAGTGAGTATTTTCCCAACCATGTTTGGTGATTTTTCTCAATTTGTGAAATTTTTGGAAAATTATTATGATTTATCAAGTATAGGGGACGTTTCCTCTTGTTAGTTGACAAAAGGCTTTAAAAGCATATATAAGGGGGTATGGTGTGCTTCCTACCTGCCTCCCACCCAAACTAGGCTTGAAGTGAGCAACCTTGGGGCAACTCAAGAGGGGCTTTAGGCATCCAGAGGGGTGTCTAGAGTCTCCACACAAGTTTGGAAGCCCCGTGGACGGTGCAAAAATGTAAGCACTACGCCTGCCTCCCAAGCGCAAGGTTTGGGTCGTGCTTTCCATTATGCCACACGTTATGGCATCTTAGGGGTCGTTCTAGGCCGCATGGGCAATCGAGGCACCACCAAAGGCCTTGTGTGCCAACTCAAGTGCATGGTTTGGGTTCAGCCTTGCATGTAGGAATCTTGTGGCTTAAGCTAAGCGGCTGGAAGGCAATACCGCATATGTGGGCTATCGAATGAAAGCATCAAGCTATGCATTGACTAAATCCATTAAGGGATGACATTATGCTACAAATGAGCTACAGATTAAGACGTTGCCTTACTCGAGCGATACGTTGGTGCAACACTAAGGTGCGCAATGGCCTTAAGCTGAATCTAACACACATGTTGGCACGAAGAGTACGCCATGGGAAAGTTACCCACGGTCTCTTGTGGGCTATACATGATCATGTGGCTATCCGATATACAACGATTGAAGCATGCTTGACCCTGTGACACTTCGAGATGCTTTCAAAGACCCAACATGCTATGTTGGCTTGTCGGCCAAGTCGAGGACTTTCGCAAGTACATTGTTGTGTGGCTAGGCACCTTGATGACATAAACCTAAGTTGGGCGAGCACCTTGCTGGAGATAAGCTTGGCGCAATGAAGCGACTTATGCCGTGCTTGGTGCACTTGAGGCGTCAGGCCTACTTGTGGCATCCGGGTAAAGACGGAGCTTCCTATGGGAGTTGTTCTGCTTGACAAAGCATTGGGCCCAAATGTTCAAATGGGTGAGATCATCAACACTTGATTTATCAATGAGCTAAGGAGGGATTAAACTTGGTAGAGTTTGAGCACCGCACGGGTGAAAAATTGTTCCACTACGCCTCTAAAGGAGTCGGCCCGTGACACAGAGCCATGTCTCTATTGAGCGAAAGTGACATGGCCAAGTAGCGCTCTAGGTCATGCCTCAGGGTACCCAATGCTATTGCTTGCTCTATGGTGTCAAGGCTAAGCAGCTGAGTGCGTTAACTGGTTAGGCTACCATAGTTGCTGGTTTATGTGTTCCCTACTCAGGCTAGGTTCATAATCCAATGACTAGTCCTAGAGATGACGTGGTGCCAAGCTGGCTTGTCACTTGAAATCCTTTTATCTATGTTGGAGACGACATGGTGTTGACAAGGCTTGCCATATGACAAAGGCTATACAAATACCTACAATCTACTGTGGAAATTGTTTTCCACAAACAAATGGAATAATAAAGAGAAAAAAGATGTTCATATAGTGTTAATTGATTTATAGAAAAAATACAATTGGCTTCTTAAAGAAATAATGTAGAAGATTGTAGAGAGAGAGAGAGAGAGAGGAGACATGCTTATTATATATATATATATGAAAAACTAAGGCCACATATAATGAAGTTGTGACTAATGTAAGAATAATCGGGTAAAGAGAGGATGGTGAAATATCAATAATAATGGCGTTATAGCAAGGTCAATATAGTAACCATGAGAGAACTGCAAAAGGGTTAGTCAATGATATCATTTAAGCATGTAACAAACACCAATGCATGTTGGAACAATTACAGTTTCCCCCTTTCTCCTAGGAGCATCTTCGCAAGGGGGCCAAGCATTACCCCCAACAGTTAGGTCCAAGTACAACAGATGACCCATGTAGTCAGGGACTAACATAACTTAGCATTATGGTGCCCCCTAGCCCACACATGATCGTGTGTGTGAGTCGGTTTCTAATACCATCATAAGTAACAACTAAGGGAACTCCCAAAAGGAACCAAGGGAACTTGCCCAAAAGGGCTAGGCAAGGATGCTATTTGGGAATTCATCAGGTACACCAGTTGGCATCTCCCTTTATTTAATTAATTTTGTTTCCTGAGACACACTGTTTGTATCCGTGTCCGTGCTTCTTCGGTGCTCGGGTTCAACTTGTGTTCATGACAAGCCCACCCACGCATGATTGGCTTAGTTTTGCTTCACAATCTTACGAGCTAATTTACCTTCATTCGATTTAAAAAGTTTTGGTAGTTTACATGTCGCATTCTAAGACGTTGAATAGGAGAAGGGGGAGGGGGCGAAGTTAAAGCCTTACATTCTAAGATGTTGAAGAGGAAGAAGAAAAAAAAAAAGTTAAAAAGCAACAGGCTTGATCTCCTAACACGTAATCCTTACTGTTATCACCTTGCATGCTAGTCAAAGTGGAGCTAAAATCGCAAAACAAAACAAGCTCATAGACTTATAAACATCGATGAAATTAGGGAGTACATTAGAAATGTTTTGTAGTAGTGATTTTGCCTAGTTGTAAAGTTTCTATAGGGTTGCTATAAGACCAAAAAGGTTGGTGATTAAGGAACAATTATGTTCAAAGAATATTGGGATGGATAAGTAGTGTTACAAAAACAAGGTCGAGAAAAATAATAATAAAAGAAAAGAAGAAAAAAAAAACAAATGCACTAGTAAAAAGTTAGAAGTGGCACCATTAAAGATGAAATTAAAGAAAACCATATGAGTTGGAATGAGCATGAGCAATGTAGACCAACTCAAATGACTGAAATGAATAATGGTTTCGTCGAAGTCGACAATGCCAAAGAACAGAGGAAGTTCAAAGAGGACATATGTTAAGGTGAAAATGGAAGAATATGTTTGCTCTATGATTAGGGCAGCAAACGAGCCGAACTTTGTTGAGCTTGAGCTCGAGCTTGGCTCATTTGCTTATCGAGCTCAGCTCATTTATCAAACGACCCTAATATTCAAGCTCAGCTTGTTTACTAAATGAGTCGAGTTGAGCCAACTCGCGAACAACGCGGTTCGTTTGTAGCCCTATCTATGATTGACTGAATATATGCCTTTTAATAGAGTTAATTGGAGAAACCGGTTTTGTGCAGCCAATCCCAAATAATTGGGATTTAGGACTAATGCTTGCCGAGTAGAGTTGAGTTGAGTTCAGACAAACATACACGCACAGAATTTGGGACAGAAAATGCATTCTGTTAGTTACCCAAGCAACACACTTCTTCACCCAGCACCTAACCACAAAGTAGGCTAAGAGAAAAATATTTTAGCAGTCAGCGGTTATGATTCTTTTATTCAGTTGCATCAAGATCCTCCTTACAGAATGCTCCACTTCATAGATAATATATAATACCAACTGTCATGGACATAAGAAGAAGAATGAGAAGAAAAAGTTGCTGATAGAGGTCTAAGCGCATTCTTGTGACTATTAAGGAAGGGAGGCTGCAACAGATTCAAATAACCAGAAAGCATCTGATCCTTTCAAGTTGTTTCATAAATGAAAACAAATTGGCTCACAGGAAGTTCACAAATTGACATCATTAAAATTTTAGCTGTCGTCTTTTGGCAATTAAGATTTGATAAAATAAAAAATAAAAATAATAATAAAAATTAGCTATCCCTTTCTGATAGGGCATTATTACTTCATAACAAACAGCATTAATCTGGGATAACAATTATGTTCGGAGTTGGATTCCATACCATAACCTTTACTTCTTTCCTATTCTTCTCCGAGTAAATACAAGAGCTTCACAGACAATACCCCTTATTATTAACAGAGTGCAATCATAGAACTAACTATAGGATCTGGAAGAACTTACATTGAAAGGAATATAAGTTTGTCTGCCATTAACAAGCCCACTTGTGTAGCCTGTGTACCCAGCCATAGCTCCATGAACAGCACTTTGAGCAAGGAGTGTACAATACACATTGTCAGCTGCATTGCTTGGAATAGCCCGGATCATGTATGTAGGATCTGTCAGAAAAATTGGTCAGGTCCACATCTTGTTATTTCCCTTCGCAGTACTTACTTTTTCAAGCAGATGCTAGGTGCAATTTTCTGTTTGATAATTTCTCCAAGTTCAGTTCAAGAAGAAACGTAAGACAAGCAAGAACGGGAAGTGAGAGGTTACTGACCTATATATTTAAGAGTAAGAACCATCTTATTTCGTTTTGCAAAATGTTCCTACAAAACAGGAAAGAACCAGTAAGCGACAGCGTGAAACTTTTATATTATCACTTGGGAATGCTCATCTTATAGAAAACAAAGAGATCACAAAATATCATAAAACTAAATTCATCAATGAATTATCTATTTCCATTAGATAGCCATGTAATTTTACACTTGTGGTCATGAAGAACATCTGCATGTTTACAAGCTGAGAATGTAAATTGAGAGGTATAAATTATAGTAAGTTGCGAAGTTTAGGAAAAATAACTATAACCAGTACCTTGATCCTATTAGAAATCCACAACCCAACATCTTGGAGTTGCCTGTTCCCAGAAGGATCTCTCTCTTCCCCAGGCTGCAAGCTCCCTGAAAGGAACTCCTGTCCGGCTCCTTCAGCTATCACAATAACCATGTGCCCATTTTCTTTGAGCGTTTTTTCCACGTATTCAAAAAGTCCACCCTTTCCTTCCAGAAAGAAGGGTGATTCTGGAATCAAACAACAGTCCACATCTCGGCTGGCAAGTGTAGCATACATTGCAATGAAGCCTGCACCAGTAAATCTGAGAAAAATGAAGGAAAATCTGGATAATGCCAGTGAAGCTAATCTAGAAAGGAAAAGCGTTGATGAAATTATTAGATTGAGTTAAGTTTAAAACTACAGAAAATCATACATTCAAAATCTCTGGAAATTTTTCACCTTACCTTCCTTAAAAATCGTGAAACAAAAAATCTTTATTTAGTTCATTTATTTTGACTGCTTCCAAGCTATGAGCAAATTTTATTAAGCAAGCAAAAGCATGTTCATATGTTGTAGCACCAAGAGCTATATTCATCTTCATTTGTGACTCTAAAGCTTGTTTTGCAACAGCAAGATGCACAAACATGAAATAAATGATGCTTTGAAGTATATGTGGACAACAAAAAACTAAATAAAAGTTTGCATAGCAGCCCAGTTGGCATCAGAGCAGGCAAAGAAGATGGTCAACAGCCCCGAAGTGATCGTTAGGCCAAATTGCATAGTTAGATATCTAATTATCTGTAATTTAGCCATGCAGTTATGACCACTGAAACATATGGGAGTCAACCTTACCACTGTCGCGGCCCATTAGCTTCACTACACCAACACCATTCTCAGTACTTTCAGCTTCAACATGCGCAGCATTGATGGCTCGCTGAGCTTCCTCAACAGCAGTATCAAAGCCAAATGACCTGTCAATGACCTGAATGAAAACAAAAACAGATGCAAATATTGTTATAAAAGATTATACAACTCTTTAGAAAACAATCAAAATTCAATTTAATTTAAAAACAACAGCAATATATAAGCCAAAGGGCTTTTGTAGTATTCTTTTATTTGATCAAATGAAAGGAGCTCCAATATGAAAGCATTTGAGTGTTAATTCATGGGTTTTCACAAATGATAGGGAATGAATTTCATTCAGCAACAATTCACATATACAAGATGGCAAATACCGGAATGTCATTATCAATTGTTTTGGGGATTCCCACAACTGCAACTTTAAGACCACGTCGTCTAACTTCCTGCATGAAGAGAATGGAAATGAACAATAATCAATTACTGTTTTATTCAGTTAATGCAATCAACTACAATGAGAGACAGGAGAGTCAGATGAAAAACATGAACAGATTTTACTTAATTGGAAGTCTAAGAAAGTTAGGGCTTATATTTAGGGAGTCAAGTACATACTATGTAGATGATTATGTTCATTTACAGCTGTTGCAAAATGCCATCGTAAAAAGCTCAGGTTGTCAAGCATGAGAATGCCAAGTTTGAAAAAACCACTTTGTGCAGAAAACAAGTCAAAGGTCACTTCTATACATAGTCCACACCTTCCACTCTCTCGGCATCCCCATATTGACAAGAGCAACATGCGCAATAGGCCTTTTACATGAGTATCTTTATCAGAGAGTTGTCAAAGAATAACTCATGCCTCCTGAAATTTTTCACCTTAGGACTGATATAGGGAGAAGATATTGAAAGGGTTGTTTCTTCAAGTAAGGTTGCAAGACATGAATCACTAACGGGCGAGGCATAGATCAGTGAAGTAACAGAGAACACTTGCAAATTCAGTCTCAATGAATTTTATTACATTAATTGATCAAAGTCAATGAAGTATGTACTATTTGCAGTGGTGACTGCAAACAGGTGGGACTGTTAGCGTAAAATTAAAAGCTTGGCCCAAGTTTGTTTTTATTGTGGAGTACCTAAACACATGGATAAATGCCTTTAACATGTGTTAAAGGCTCTATGGTTGGAATCATTTATAGAAATTTCAGCCACTTGGCTAAAGAAATATACCAGTCAGGGCTAGAATTTTTAGAATCCCATCTAATTTCAACCTTCAATGTTAGTGAAACTGGTTAGTGAATTGTGTGTGGCTCCAACTATACACACACACCCAAAAATAAATAAAAGTAAAACCTGAAAGATTGCAGCAGCTCCTTTTAGAGTTCCATCCCCTCCAATTATATAAACCTGAACCATTAAAAGGCATTTACCATTTTCAGTATGAAAGATGTTGCATGCTGAATCAGTAACAGAAATACTGAACTGCAATCATAATCTATAAAACACAAAAATGATTCTTCAAACAGTACTGTTTTACATCAAAACTTCTCATACCTGGTTAATCCCACGGTCTTGAATGCTATCAACTATCTTTGAGGTATCATGCCCTCCTCGTGACGTTCCAATAATTGTACCACCACGTTTATGAATGTCATTTACAACCTTCGGGGTTAAAGTAATACTGTTTCGTGAATAGAAACCCCTATATCCTCCCTAAAAGTGACCCAAAAAAAAAAGCATTAGCTGGCAAGATCACGATATCATGAAATACAAAACCTCAACTTATGGTAACCAAATCAGAACCCATGAAAATACCCACAAACAAGTACCAATCAATGATGAGGGTTTGTAAGGTGCCCACTTCTTAGACATGTTGAGACCTAGACTTGAATGGTAATTTTCATTACAATTAGTTAAAAGTCGCTACCCAGTGTTAGTCCCTTAATGGTACACAAGCTAAGGACCTTACAGCTTAAATTGCAAAAAGCAGTTTCTATCCCCAGAGGCCCAGACCTGAACCCAACAAGCTTTTACCATTTCACTAAGCTATGGCCCTCTACTCTTTAAAACATGCTTATGATATTCCAAACTGGCATCAGCAAAATGGGCTGACATTGAGAAATGCAGGTAACTTGTAAATGCATGTACTGTTGAATAAATTCAGTCAAGTTATAATTTCACCCTTCTAGCTCTATTCATAAATATGAAAATGTCAATACCACCTTCCTGTAACATACTTTTTAAAGGTTGACGTATTAAAAGCCTTTGGACCATATAAACCATGCTAGATATATAAGAATAAAAAATAAAATAAAAAAAAGGTTCCAATTAAATGATGAAAGTGAATATGGCAACAAAAATATTGTTGAGCAAGCATTATTAGTTTTTTGAACCACAACTAAATATTGTTTACTTGATAGGTCCAGCATTTTTAACAGAAGCCAACATCACAAATATAAATAATGAAGCCATCGCCCATCATTTTGAAGTAGTGCAGAATCAAATCAACAAAGTAGAGCTACTTTTATATAGCAACTCACTAAAACAACAAAAACAAGGGTTTCCACTTTAATTTCTGAAATCTACCATTCTCAAAGACCAAACAAATAATGAAATTGGTTCCATATATCCAAAAACAAAAAGTATCTATCACAAAAGAACAATTCTTGATACCCTAGACGATAGAAAAGAAATCTTAGCATCTGTTTTGAAGCGTTAGAAATAGAAATGCTCTGCATGTTTGGAAGCTGACCACATTTCTTATTGAAATTTATCATAAGAGCAGTGGTGTTAGATATAATAAATGTATGTTATGTGTGACCCTTTTTGTTCTGAGATGATTAAAAGGCAAGCTGTAAAGCCATGTTTCGGTTTTATGTAGTGTAGTGTAGTATAGAGTAAGATATTATTTTAAATTATCACATATAAAAACTATTAAAGATGGATCTTGTTTGGCAACCCAAAGCAAAGGAATTGAGTATACATCTCTCACCAAAGCAATTATATGAAATGCTTACTAACTTTGCATTATACATATTACAGATTACAGACCAATCAAAGCTGTCTACAGATTCACATGCAAAATTTCATCAGGGAAGCCACTGGACAAGGAAACATAAAATTAAAAAACACTCAAAATGCAAGGTGAGATTTAAAAAAACAAATTTAACTGAACACATAGGTTATACACTATCCACTCACTCACATCTATCCCAAGGACTTTGGTGGCGCCATACATGTGATAGAGGCTGCATACAAGTTCCCTGATCACAGTGTTCAGCCCAGGGCATAAACCACCACATGTGACAATACAAGCATGCACCTCATCTGCATCAAAATACACCTGTGAAGCATTGAATAGTTAGTCCAAGCAAAGACATATATGGTGGGTGTTTCATTGTGCAGTAATCACCTGAAACAACAGAACATACCTTTTGCCGAGGTCCAGCACGCCGAAAATGTATTCCTCTTGGACTCTCCTTGTGAACAACAATCTGTTGAGAAGTAAAGAAAAACACAGTTGTAGGCTTGTATCCATTTATTTAATTGCATCCAAACTGGACATATAAAACAACCTTTTGGCTTGGTGTAATAATTTCCAAGCTTCTGAGCCAAAAAGAAACAACCAAGCCTGGCCTGGAAAATGGTAGCACTAACTCCCCCCCCCCCCCCAAAAAAAAAAAAAAAAGAAAGAGCCCAAAAAGAAAAGGCACTTAAATACTAAACACAATATACAAACCCAAGAAACTCGTCTCTGTTATGTTCTCTTTGTCTCTACTTATCAAAATATATATATATGTATGTGCTCTCTCTATCACACACAAACAAGCATAGACAATCAAACACATAGAAACTAGCATTCGGCAGACAAGTGGTGCATATTTTTATTTCTTCCAGGACATGTGCATACAGATTTTAGGAAGGAAGAGAGAGTGAAATAAACGGAAGGAATTTAATTAAAACTCAATATATGAAATTTCTTTGATAAATAATGTCAGAGGAACCGAACAAGTCGAGGAGCAGAAGTCACCTTTTGGGGTACACTATCATCCACATGAACAAAATACTGCCTGAAACCAAAATGTAAAGTAAGAAGTAATCAAGTTTTGATTTAAAAAAATAAAGATACAAGCAATTACTGTTATATGAGCAGTTGGCATCAACTTGAAGTCCAAGAAAAGTAAATGCGACTTACTTCACAACTGAATATGCAGGATTGGATCGCAGTGGATTGGGATAAGTCTGCCATACAACCAATCACCAAAAACAATAAGAACATGAGACTCAACTTGGATTGCTGAAGCTTATAATGAAAAAGGTAAATATTTATAGAGGCACATGTCTATAATGATGCCCTTCATCTGTACCCAGAAATACAACATTCACTTGACGAAATGTATAATGTTAAGAATGATTAAGTAGGATTTTCACGTCCAATACTATATATGTCTTCTCTTTTTGGGTGTCAAAATTGTTTCAAGGCAGGTAACGAACTTGATCAGAGATTGGTGAGAGCTAGAGATGGAGGTACCACAAAAGGGCGGATGTTGCTCGATATCTTGTACAGTTAGTCAAGATAATACGAGGATGCTTGAAGATAAATAATTTTAAAAGGGTCCCACCATATGAAAGAATTGGTTGTGAATGCAACCATTTTAGCTATAGATATAGCCCCAACCTTTTTAAACATTTATTTGTGTGTATACATTAAGTCCTCACATATCTAGAGCTCAAATTTAAATATTGGTAGAAAGTCCTTTTTTTTAGTATTTTATTTTCCAACACTCTATACCTTGCAATTTTCTTAGAGCCACTCGTGTGCAACCTCAGGCCTCTAGCATGCCACATTTGAAAGATGTTCTACTGCAATAAAATTCTGTTTTTTTGACGGTTAAGTAACTGCTAATTTTATTCATATGCACATGTATGTTGAACCCTTATGCATAACTTCAGTGCCTTAAACGAACATGCAAATACATGTCTTATCCAAAATAATCTATTTGTGCTGCAATATTAAAAAATGCCAGGAATAGAGGTTTTTGTGAAGGGATGTACTCTTGGTATGCAATGCATCAAAATAATTAATATTATAAAAGAAGCTATGTTTTAATAGCTCTATAGCACAATAACTCAAGCGTAATTTCGTATCCATGCAGGACCTCAAACTTTTCAATATTCACTCTCAAATCAGTTACAAAAGTATTCGTCTAAAACTTAAATTTCAATCTCAAGTCTCAACAAACTTCTGTCCCAATTAGTTGGAGTCGGCCTATGTTACATGTACTCAGATGTAACTCAGATGGGGTGTCGGGAGCAACTGTGTGTCCAAATGATTCATCTAATTGTCATATCCAAGGATATGAAAAAGAAAATGGGAAGAAAAAACATAACACTTGTACAACCTTCCCAAAAAGCAAGTTTCCAGAAAACCCACATCCAATACAGGAGAAAATAAGATTTACAAACAAAATCAAACGAAATCTATCTATCCACAGTAAGATTACATATATAAAAAAAAATAAAAACAAAAAATAAAAAAAGAGGGGGTAGATGAGCAACATTACATATCAATCAAGTTCAAATTCAAATCAAATCAAATCACACACACACACACATATATACATATATATATAGAGAGAGAGAGAGGCATACAGGGAGATCGGGAATGTAATCATTCAAGTGAGGAACATCTTCGAGGACATAACCAGCAGGGCCAGAGACCACTTTAATTTGAGAATTGGTTTCGTCTCCCATAACACTCCTCTTGCTTCTCAAAAATCAAATTTTATATGTAGAATGTTTGACGATTAATCTCGAATTTCGGACAGGAAATGCAGAGAACAGGGAAGAAGCGAAAATGGAGGAATGAATTTACTAGGCTTATGATGATCTGTGAGGAGGATGATACGTATAAATATAGACGCGTGGGTCGTGGTGATCGGTCACTTTTTTTCTGGTTTTTTTTTTTGGTTGACAAGAAGCTCACACACTTTTGGTTTTTTTTGGGGATTTTTTGAAAAAAAATTATATTAGGCATTTTAAATAATTTATTAAATTTTTTATCAAATTTTTTATATGAATATGATATTAAATCTATATAAAACTTAAACAAATTTATATGTGTGTAGATCCCATACTCATATAAAAAATTTAATATATTATTTAGAATTTATAACGTTTTCTGATCTAAAATAAGTTGAAAAATGATTTTTTGGCCATCCAATTAGATTAAATAAATGACAAACATAAAATATTATATTTAAATTATAATTATTTTATTTTTTCATAAAAATTATTTAAAAAGTTTTAATTTTAAATTTAAAAATATCTCAATTCTAAAATGCCAATTAAAAAAAAAAAATTGTCAAACGAAAACAAAGCATCGAGTTTGGACATGTGATGCTCTCTCTTTCTCTCGGACGAATGATAATGAAGAGTCGAGGTCAGATCCGATGCACATTGTATTGTGGGTACAGATTCTGGGTCCATTATCCGACCGGGTTGCCCAAAACATGGGGCGCCACCACTATGATGGTTTTCAGAACCCTCTTTCTCTCACTTCCCTGGTTTTAGATGCTTGTATTGAAGAGCTAATTGGAACAAAACAAATCATAATGCGGAAAATTACAAAACATGTACATAAGGTGTTGGATTTGACTAGTAACCAAGTAAATTTTAATATGTTTAATCTAAACAATAATGATAGAGACCACTAATTTTGGAGCTCTAAAAAGACCACTAATGACATGGCACTCAATAAAAAAAGAAAAAAAATATAACACCAAGGCCAAAACATCAAATCATTTATGATGTGATCTACTACCACATCATTAGTGGTAGCACTAATTAGTGCTCTCACTCATTTTCCTTAATCTAAATTCAAATCCTTGGTTACCGACACAAGTTAAAAATTCACTCTTGGGCCTTGGGTGATATATTTTTAGTTAAATAGTTTTTTTATTTTTATTTTTTATATATAAGATATTCTAGGTTGGTTTATGCACAAATTTCTACCGTCCAAACAAACCTTTTGAAGCAGTACATATGTCTTGCGGTCCGTGATCCCAAGATATGCATTTGTTGATTAGAGAATTCGAACCTAAAACCTGAAAGAGAGTAAGCCTCTAAATCCCAATCGTCACCCATTAAGCCAATCATCCTGTGGTTAAAATAGTTTTTTTCCTTACTTTTTGCACTTTTTTAGTTAAACATGTTTGGTTGGGTTTTGAGAAAGTAGTTTTTAAAAATTATTTTTGAGAGAGAGTTTATAAATTTTTTTGGTTTGTTTGGTTGTGTATTTTGAAAATAGTTTTGGAGTTTGTGAGTTTGAAATGATTTGATATTTTGTTATAATTGAGTAGATGTGTGTGAGAGAAAAAATGATTGAGAATGAGAAATGAGAGAGAAAAAATGATTGATTGATATGTAAGAGAGAGAAAGTAATTTTGAAAATTGTTTTAAAAAACTTACAAACCAAATAAGTTTTTTAGAAAAATTTTCCCAAAATCACTCTACAAAACCAAACCAAACATATTTGGGTAAAAAAAGTCACAAAACTAATAAAAAGTCAAAAAATCAAAATGTTATACAAAAAAAATTAAATATTTTTTTTTCCTCACCTTTTACACTTTTTTTTTTGTAAAAAAATAAAAAAATTATTTCAAATATATCGATTTTTTTATCTCATATTTTAATAAAAAAAATCTCCAAGAAAGCCATTTTCCAAAATAAGCCCAAGTATAATCAGCATTTTATAATTATATTTGACGAGGTTTTATTTTTTGGAACTATTATATATAATCTCATTGTCAGCAATGTCATATACATCATTTCTATATATATATATATATATAATTAATTATTCATCAATTGATCTCCCATTCGATTAGGTAACTAACTCTTTATATATTTCAATGCTAAAATCATTGTCAATCCTTTATCAAATATTTCATCAAATTCAAATTTAATATTAAAAAAAAAGTTTAAACGGTGCTCCAACCATTTAATCAAATCCATATCAAATCAAGAGAGTCATTTTTTTCATCAAATTGAGAACTCATCAAATTTGAATTTGATGAAAATTTAAAATGATAAAACATTAGAGATGATTTTTTTCATCAAATTTAATGAAAATGGAAATTTGGGATAAGAGGAAAATATTTAAAAAGATTTTTATGAAATAATTGAAATAGTTCATAACAAATCAAATTTTTTACTCAAATTTAAAATCAAATTATATGAAAAATTTAGTGAAAGTTAAAATGCTCTAAGAAATTTTTTAAAAATGGTATTTTTTTTTAGAAACGGTCCTCATATTTTTGTTAATGGGTTCCCATTGTATCGAACTAAGATCTCGCTTAGGAATATGCTTTTTTAGTATCTTTTTTATTTTTTGATTAAAATATAATGTAAAAAAAAAATATTGTGTGTTTGGAAAGAACTTTTTGTTGGAAAAATGGTTTAAATAGGCATATTTTTTAGCCCAAAATTGAGTGGGTTCCAAACGTCTTTTGGGGTGGGTTCGAAGAGGTGACGTATTCCTTGTCGCGTGACAAGTCACACGGTGAAGACGGAACGTCAAAACCATTTATGAGTGAATGGGAAGTTAACGTCATTTTCGGGTTTAACATTAATTTTTTAGACAAAATTTATTTGAATTTTTCAATAAAAATTATTGTGGGAATTTAATTTAAATATAAATTTATTTTTGGTTTTTTAAAATGATTTCCTAAAAAATGATTAAACTATTTCAAATAGTTTAATATTAGTATTCCATTTATTTAGAATCTTTTCCCCTTTAGTTTTTTTGAATAAACTATTCAAATTATTTAGGCTCCGTTTGGTGGAGTTTTCAAAATCTAGTTCCACACTTACTTTTGAGTGTGGTGTTTGTTTAAGGTTTTCACCCTTTAGTTTTTTTGAATAAACTATTCAAATTATTTAATGTTTTATCCCAACAGTTCCACCAGGTACTGTTCCGTCTTCGGAACCTTTTTCAATTTGCTTGAAAATAAGCAACGGTCAGATTCATTTTGCAAACAGATCTGTTCATTTGAATAAGGCACACGTTGATCACTTTTACACCGGTTTGTGGCTTTGGAAATTTGCCTATAAATTTAGCCTTGATTCCATCAGTCGGGGGGTGTCAAGAAAAATAGTCTGAAATTTTGTTCCATTGTTGTCCAAAATTTTCTACTTTTGCATTATTCTTCATTTTAGTTTTAGAATAAATTAAAGAGAGTATTAGAACACAAGGTTTGGTTCGCCGAACAAATTGTTTGGAGTACTATTACAATTTGTGAAGATCATTGTATCCTGAGAGATAGACGCCACTCATCCGTAAGTACCATAACGGGGCGAATTTGTCTTAAGGACAGAATGTCACACACTTGACTTGGTCTTAATTTTTATTCGGTTCGATAAATAAATCTGGTATGTTATTTATTTATTTTGTTTGAATTTATTTCAAGTTATTTTATTTACACAAAAGATTGTTCCAACACTTTTTGAATTTTTACTAAAAAATGAGTAATAAAATAATATAAATAATTAGAAGTGGGAAAATTGAGTTCAACCTATGAGATTTCACCTGACCTGTTGCCAAGTGAAGTAATGCCAAAGACAATTTTACAACATGAAGTGATCTATGCCTTGGGGGAAACATGGGGGTTATTGACAAATTTATCAAGAAGGTGCATACATACACACACAAAAATTTGTATATAAAAATATTTTTAAAAATGAGAGAGAAAAAATAATTGATTGATGTGTAAGAGAGAGACAGTGATTTTGGAAATTGTTTTGAAAAACTTACAAACCAAACAAATTTTTTAGAAAATTTTTTCCAAAATCACTCTACAAAACCAAACCAAACATATTTGAGTAAAAAAAGTCACAAAACCAATAAAAAGTCAAAAAATCAAAATGTTATACAAAAAAATTAAAATTTTTTTTTCCTTACCTTTTACACTTTTTTTTTTTGTAAAAAAATAAAAAATTTATTTCAAATATATCGATTTTTTTATCTCATATTTTAATCAAAAAAATCTCCAAGAAAGCCATTTTCCAAAATAAGCCCAAGTATAATCAACATTTTATAATTATATTTGACGAGGTTTTATTTTTTGGAACTATTATATATAATCTCATTGTCAACAATGTCATATACATCATTTCTATATATATATATATATATATTTAGAGAGAAAGTGATTTTGGAAATTGTTTTGAAAAACTTACAAACCAAACAAATTTTTTAGAAAAAATTTTCCAAAATCACTCTACAAAGCCAAACCAAACATATTTGAGTAAAAAAAGTCACAAAACCAATAAAAAGTCAAAAAATCAAAATGTTATACAAAAAAATTAATTTTTTTTTTCCTTACCTTTTACACTTTTTTTTTTTTGTAAAAAAATAAAAAATTTATTTCAAATATATCGATTTTTTTATCTCATATTTTAATCAAAAAAATCTCCAAGAAAGCCATTTTCCAAAATAAGCCCAAGTATAATCAACATTTTATAATTATATTTGACGAGGTTTTATTTTTTGGAACTATTATATATAATCTCATTGTCAACAATGTCATATACATCATTTCTATATATATATATATATATATATATATGTATATATAACTAATTATTCATCAATTGATCTCCCATTCGATTAGGTAACTAACTCTTTATATATTTCAATGCTAAAATCATTTCCAATCCTTTATCAAATATTTCATCAAATTCAAATTTAATATTAAAAAAAAGTTTAAACGGTGCTCCAACCATTTAATCAAATCCATATCAAATCAAGAGAGAGTAATTTTTTTCATCAAATTGAGAACTCATCAAATTTGAATTTGATGAAAATTTAAAATGATAAAACATTAGAGATGATTTTTTTCATCAAATTTAATGAAAATGGAAATTTGGGATAAGAGGAAAATATTTAAAAAGATTTTTATGAA